AATCCCAATGATACTCAAAGTCCTCATATACTTTTGCAAATCCTCTGGAGGAGACGAGGAAAGTGAAGGGAAACATCGCCTCCATAGTTATCTTTCTGGTGTAATTGGCAAAAATGTTCAGCAAGGGGTACCCAGAGCCCAGGGATGGCGCTGTCAGCAAGGGGTACCCAGAGTCCAGGGATGACACCACAGCTTTACCTAGCTTGGTGCCAGCCATTGTAAAAACAAAGATGAATTCTGCCAACTTTTTCACTGCAGAACAGGCCATCAAACAACAGCACAACAGAACAGTCCCCTTAATCAGCCACACAATGTTCTTAATCCAAAACCTACAGATGATAACCCCACCAGCAAACAACAAAAAAACCATTATTCTCTTATCAGCTCCTCTGAGCATAAATCCAAAACACAGCCTCTTGCTAGCTATTTATGAAGAAGAAAGGAAAAAAAACCTAAGAGAGTTAACTTTAAGCAGTCTGTGCTTAAACCACGGCATTTGGTAAATGCCTGTATGCAGCTATGTGTCTTAAAGGATTTTGCTTTTTCTTAATATTTGATTGCACCATTGTTCCTTTAACAGCTGTCTTTTTTTATTCTCTCTCTCTCTCTTTTCTAGCAAATGCCACACATGAACGTAACCTGGGATGGGGAGGTCTGCAGGCAGCTGCAGTCCATTGACATTTCTATTGCTGTAGCAACAGACCGAGGCCTCATTACACCAATCATAAAAGATGTTGCTGCCAAGGGAATAATGGAAATTGCTGTCTCTGCAAAGGTAGATCTGAAGTGTATGATAGGCTGAGGAATATAGCAGCTATATAGTTTTTTTGTAGCAGAAAATGTAGTATGACCCAGATACACATCAGTACTAACAAAGGCAGTTTCAAAATGGATCTTAAAGCAGTTTCATCATTCTTTAGACTTCAAAATTATTATTAATTTTGCAGCTGTTCATTTTTAATTAACAATAACTTAGCCATTGTGTTATTTAGTTGAATGCTGGCTAGCCTGTTTAAAAAATAGACCTTTATAATTTGGTTTCTTTAATCATCATGAGAAAGCTACATAATATTATTTTTTTTAATATTTCTGGTCTTTGGGTTTCAGATTTTGTTTGTTTGGGAGGGTGTTTTTTTTATCCTTATTCCCAGAAATTTGCTTGTAGCTGCTTGTGTTACTCTCTGTGGAGTTACATTATGGCACTTTTAAAATTTTTTTCAAGTATGCAGTTCAGTTGTGAATGTCACCCAAAAGCTAACATTAAACTACTCGGACTAATGAGCAGTATTTTGCATAGACCAGGTGCCAGTTGGAGTCACTTGAATCCGTGGCAGTTGTTGCCAGCCACAGAAGTATTTTGTGACAGGCAAAAATATAATGAATTATGAAATGCCCCAGCACTGCCCTTTTTATGTCATTCAGTGAGTGCTGATCAAAGGCCTACAATATCTGAGGGATGCAATGGAAGTAGCTGCTAGGGCATAACATTGTCCCAAAACTAGACATAAGCTGCACTTTGTAAATTTTTGTCACTTATCAAAAACTACAGAAATCGTTAATAGTCCATGTTGCCAGAGGGAATAATCAACAACCTTGTAGCAGCAAAAGAATTGTCATGCCACAAAACATTCATACTTGGATGTTCTTAAGTTTTTTCCAGTCCATATTGCTTACTTCATGTTGAATGTGTTGTGAAAGCAAATCCTTTCACTAATATAATAGCTAGCCAAGGAAGGTCAGCTCAGGTTGTTACATTATTTAGTGATTAGTGATACGACACAAAGAAAAGCATTATGACGAGTGAAGTATAGGTTGTGCTTTCATTATCATCCCCAATACCTGTGACACTGTGATGCAGTGTTACAAGCCTCTCTGACCATAAATTACTGTGCCCTCCAGTTCACATGATGGGAATGTACTCTTGCATTATGCTTAATAGGGCTATGATAAAGTAAGCATTCTCCTTTCATTTCAAGTGGAATGTGTGTAGCATAGGTCACGCTACTCAATATGACAGTCACTGGGTCACATACATTACAGGTGTCCACACCATCGACTTCTTCATTGAATTATTGAAAAAAAATACGTACCTGACATGCAAATGTGGGAGGCACAAACTGAAACTGCAGCTGCTTCTCTGCCAGTTTCCCTGTAGTTTGGCAGGCACTTTTCTTTGTGTAGATTGCTTATATGTCCCCTTCTGCTGCCGTGTTAATTTTAACTTCTTTCCAGGTCATGTGCATCCTAGCACCATACTTTCATCATTCAAATAATGCAATTGTGCCTATACATTACACTCATATTGACCCTATTGTTTGAACACTGTTCCCATGGCTGTTGTCTTCTGATTCACTAATTATTCAGAGATAATAAAAGCCTAAAATAAAATTCAGTGTAACCTTTTAACTTTTAAATTCATAATAAGAGTGTCAAAGTTTTGTAACTTGGTGTAAGCTTTTCCAGTCAGTGATTCATTAGAATGAGACTCTCTTAAACTTCTTGGTGTTTATTTCTAAGCTGAAATCATTGCAGTCATTAAACTACCGTGGCCTTTCAGAACCCTTGCCTGAAAGATGTTTAGAAATGTATACAGGGAAGACAGTTGTTTACCATAACCAACAGTTATATTACAATGTGAAAGGGGATTAATCCATGTCACAATTATAACTGCTAACCAGTTCATTATCTGTGCAGAAGGTTGTTGACTCTATCTCCACCCACATGCAAGCAAATAAGTCAATTCAATCATATTTTCCACTTACTGACTCTGGTCCTTAGAGGTAGGGGCAAGGTTTCATAGAAATTACCTCTTGGGATTCAGAGGTTGAATTGAGTGCTTGAAAGGATATTCACACAATGCATGTAGAAAATCCCTGGAGAGCAGAATGGGCACTTCCTGGAAAGCAATCTAGAAACTGTGAGGGGGGAAAAAAAAAAAAAAAAGCCAATTCCTAGAAAGAACATGGAAAAAATTCTAGAAAACAGTTGTAGAAGTCATGAAAAGGTGAGTGGAAAATTCCTAGAAAACTGAGGAGATTCACGGAATAATCTGCTCCAATAAAGTTTCACAAATGTGATATATCACTTTTTGTCATGTTGTGATAAAGTAGGTTTTTTCTGGTTTTTATTTGCTTCCACTGGAATTTCACGTTTTCATATAATTAAGTGATTGGAAATTATAATTTGTTTTATTATTTTTACCAGAAGAAGAAAAATATAAACAGACGGTGTTGCTTTTTTCCATCTTCCCAGAAACAGATCTGAATCTGTTTCCCTGAGTGTGCTTTTGGAGACAGTTATTTTTGTCTTAAAATGTCATAATGCTGCAACTGTCGCAATGTGACATTTTCAATGCACTTTTCCAGCTGCGGAGTAAATATGATGCTAGCCAAGAACACTAAATGTATTCTGTATGATTCGGATAGGTCATCTGTCCTGCATATATTGCCACTTCAGTCTCTGCTGTTGGTCGAAGAGCTCCTCGTTTTGAAAAGGTTGCTACTAATGGAGAAGTCATCTGATGCATTTCTAGTCACCACTTTTTCCACTGGGTACTCACAGGGTGTTAGGAATGGGTCAGTGGCTGAATAACTGGCTCTTGACTCATCAACGAGTGCCCATTTCTCTTGAGGTCCACATAGTCCTTTCTCCCTTATGTGACAACTACTGTAAGAATTATTCCTCCCAATTCCCACTGTTTCCATCTAAGGGGACCTCCAAGATAGAAACATCCTGGGTGGGGAATAAGGTTCTTTCTCTCTGTGATCTTATCTTAGAATATTGTATGAACTTTGTGGGCTGTGTTTTGAACAAAACGTTTGTGGGCAGTTTGTTTTGTTATATTTAGAAGTAGAAGAGTCTCACAAATGAAATGGAGGGCACAGGAAGAGTGGTCTTTAAGGTAGCTGAATGCCTAGCTGCAAGAAATACATTCTCTCAATCTACTAGAAAGTTCTGAAGTGGTACATGACAGTTTCATTAAACAAATCTGTTAAGAATACTGTGAATTTGTCTCATCAGTATTTTGCTAAATGTCATCTAAAAAGACCAGGTGAATGGTGGTTCGATTGTGAAAACTAGAGCAAGTTTTGTAAGATGAGAGAACAGCTTCTGTTGAACAGCCCATATTGTTGGAAAAATGAAGTTTTGTGTCCCAGTCTCTTTGCCAAATCATTGCAGCTACAACAGTGTTACTGAGGTGCTTTCCTAAATACAAAAGCAGATGACTTTTTAATTGTGGTATGGTACTTGTAATGTCTTACTGAAGTAAAAAGAATTAGTCTATTACATAAACACTTTCATTTCTTTCTTCCCTCCTCTTTTTTTTTTTTTTTTTGGTTTGATTTCCCTTAGGCTCTAGCAAAGAAAGCAAGAGATGGAAAACTGTTACCAGAAGAGTACCAGGGAGGAACTTTTAGGTAAAACTCTTCAGCAGCATTTAATACATGCAGTGTGGGTTCAGAACTACTTTATCCTCAGCTATTCCAATGTGTGTTAATGCATTACATTTTAAAATCTTACTCCATTTAGGATGAAACTCCATGTGATGATTCTGAGGGCAAAAACTAAGCTGAGTGTCCTGTATCAGGGGCATAGCTTTATTTCATCTGAGCCTGGTGTGAAATTCACATTTTTCATACTGAGACTGGTCAGACTTTTACTTCTAATTTTTCCCAATTGCAGAAAAACATTGTTTTGTTTTGTTTTGTTTTAAATTGTGTTCTGTAGTTAGGAAAAGCCATTGATAATAGTTTTAAAATAAATAATTTAAAAGTTGTTTGGCAGAAGTATTGCAGCAGACAGTGATGTCTAATTTGTCTTCAATTCACTCATCAGAGGAATGGCTCTATAGGGGCAAAAAAAGATTACAGCAAAATTGTGGTGTTTAACTCTTATAGTTTACTTTTAATTGAAACATTAAAAACTGAGTAGATCAATTTTAAATAGTAGCATGTATTTAGGTTTTTCTCCTATAAAATGTACTCTGCAAAAAGAGCTAGTAAACTTTTATGAGAAAGGAAAATAAAAACCACTAGCATAAATGTAGTGACACAGTTGCACAATTAATTTCTCAGCTGAATTTTTCCACTCCCCAAGTTTCTGAAACTTTTAATGTAGTGTATTTTATAACAGTATCATCAAGCAACACTTCTTGTTATATAATCTTTAGCTCATCTCACTTTTTGTCAGTTTTTTGAAAGCTAATTCTGAATGGTTATGTTAATCATACCTTCTACAATAGAAATTTATGATGAGAATAATACTACAGACTTCTGCAGAAACATTGCTGTAATGTATATGTGTGTGCCTGGGTTGCTAACTGTGTTAGCTTGGAAAAGAGGAGACTGAGGGGTGACCTAATCAATGTTTATAAATATGTAAAGGGTGAGTGTCAGGAGGATGGAGCCAGGCTCTTCTCTGTGACATCCAGTGACAGGACAAGGGGCAATGGGTTCAAGCTGGAACATGGGAGGTTCCACTTGAATATGAGAAAAAACTTCTTCATGGTGAGGGTGACAGAGCACTGGAACAGGCTGCCCAGAGAGGCTGTGGAGTCTCCTTCTCTGGAGACATTCAAAGCCCGCCTGGATGCGTTCCTGTGGGATCTGATCTAGGTGTTCCTGCTCCGGCAGGGGGATTGGACTAGATGATCTTTCGAGGTCCCTTCCAGTCTCTAACATTCTGCGATTCTGTGAGTTTGTGGCTCTCAGGCTGGAGGAGTGGCCAAAAAAATCTCTAAGCCTTTCAGCAGAAAAAACATACAGAAATGCAGCAGTGGAGGCTTGATTGTTCCTTCTAGGGGTTATATAATTTCTGACATTACTGGTAATTCTTTTCTCTTTCATTTAGTATCTCCAATCTGGGCATGTTTGGTATCAATGACTTCATTGCAGTCATAAACCCTCCACAGGCCTGCATCCTAGCTGTGGGCCGAGCAAGACCAGAGCTCAAGATTGTGGAAGATGAAGAAGGGAATGAGAAACTTAAGCAGCGTCAACTCATGACAGTGACTCTTTCAAGTGATGGTCGGGTGGTAGATGATGAACTGGCTTCAAAGTTTCTGGAGACCTTGAAAGCCAATATAGAGAATCCAGTGCGACTTGCCTTGTGTTAAATTCGGTGAAGATTGCTTCTTGTTTTGACAGCACACATAACTGTTATGTACTTGGGCTTGTCTTCTGTATAGAGGAGTAAATAGTTACAGTGAGATGGACAGTTAAAATATTTAATTTATTGAATTAATATGAAAACCTATTAATTTTCATACTTTTAGTCTTTTGCAATGACTAGGTTTTATAATGTAAAGCTAAAAGACTTTGAAGTTAACATACTATGTTTCTCTAAACACTTAGTACTAATGGCACATAACATTTGCATAGAAAAGTCAGTCTCTTCTGTAAAGGAAAATTAAATAAAACTATGACATTTAAAAAGGAATCATAGAATAGTTTTGTCTTTCATGTACTGAGGACTCCAGAGCTGGATAGAGTACTCGAGGTGGGGTCTTTCCTGTGCTGAGGTGGGTATACTTTATTACAGGGCTAAATATCTAGCTTTTAGAGCGAGGAAAGCAAGAATCATAATTGCGAAAGGTGCTGCTGTGAGTCCTGGTCAGTACTGAGATAAATGAGTAGCTAAATTATGTTGCTGCAGTAGAACATTTTTCAGTTAAAAGACTTCACTGGCATGTTGTGCCATCCACATGAGATTGAAATAAGGTTTATAAGATTTTGACAGATATTTCAAAGGCTTTGTACATAAGAGCAGAGACATTACAAACAAAAAAAAATTGATTTGATTTCATTTACCTCACAGATTTAACTGCTCTTTATTCTTTATTATAAGCTACACTGAAGAAAACAAGATGACTATGGAAATGAATGGGCAAAAGATATGACAGGAAATTCTGAGAAAGACTAAATCAGATCATAGATAAAAAAGTAATTTCTCAAAATATTAAGTAATGGTGTGAAATCCACAGCTTCATTTATAGAATTAAAATTCATTTAAACTGTAGGTGCATCTATTTTTTCCAGTATTTTAAGGTAACTGCATAATCCAATGCCTTGCAGACGGGTAGAGAGGAGAATAAACTTGTCTGAAGGATGGAATCTCTGCATCATTGATTTTTAGATTTTGATGGAACCAGCATTTAATGAAAACAACATTTTCTGTTAAAATTTAAAAAATAATAATAATTTTGACTTAATTTGGAGACAATCACAATTTTTCAATTTGAAGTTGCTCCAACTCAGATATGTTCTTCAGTACCACAAAATATTAAGAAAATTTTTTTTCAAGTGCTCTGTGATATATCATGGTTAACTTAAAACCCAAGTTACTTGTGCCAGCAGTATTGTGATGAAAAACTATCTTTGATCTCTTAATCTCATAGAGGTTCCAGTATGAAAGGTCAAATTTTGCACACTGAATATTTTCTGGTTAATGCTGTTCTTTGCATGGATAGAATAAAGATGTAAGTAGGAAGTGTTTCATGATCAGTATGTATTGAATTGTAATTCAGATTCTCAAATGCAGTGGTCTGAAGTTTAACAGAAGTAGATTATTTTTTTCTTATACATAAAATATGGAACAATGTATTGCATGTGTTTGTAGTGAAATAACTGCATTTACAGGACCTGGTGAGAATATAAATTGTCATTAGAATTCTGGGAGTTCGTGTTATTCTGGTTTGTGCAAGTACTTCTTTCTAAAGAATTGGAGGACTTGTTTTGTTGAGCTGCTGCCATAATTAAAAACTTAATTGCAAGACAAAACCTTCAGTTAATGCTGAGAGTTTTCACTAAATGAGTTTTCTTTCTTAGCTTATTCTGCTATCATAAATTTCATAAACTGTTAATCTAACAGTAGGGAGAGATTTTGATTACCAAATCTAGTTTACTGTGCAATAATGGACATATCCATTCTGTATTTCCAGGAATTTCTCACTGTGGTGAATTATATTTAAGATTGTGTGCTGAAGATTAATTTGCAATTTTAAATGGTTAACCATTAATTTTTCCAGAGTTGTTTGTAAATCTCACATTACTACTTTGAAGGGAAAAAACATTATACATTTTTGTGTATAAAATGTGTAAAAAAATTATAATAATGTATAAATAAAAATCT